CCTCAGTTCTGGTTCAGTGCATCTGTTTGGTTTCAGCCAGTGATCGAAAATAAACTGAGTTTTGTTAAAAGCAAAACCGTGTGTGTAACAGTTCAGCTCAGCACACCTGGCTTTTGGTTTTCCATTGTAGAGAACACCTAACACTTTATTTTTGGCAATGCATCCGTTGTGGTTTCAAGCTAGCTGAGACGATGCTAAAAGATGATGTGAAAACACAGCGAACCATTGAGTGGTCAGAGAGAATCCTCACTAGCTGCATGTACGCAGCGTGCGGTGAAGCCGTTGTTGCTCACATCGGCACACAGTTGTCGTGTTTCCAACTGTTACTTTTTCTAAGCCAGTTACAAACCGCATTGGTTTCAGTTTCACTTTTTTTTTTAGGAGGAACACACAAGCAGAAGCTTGTCCCTTTTCTTCCAAGCTTTAGCTGGGTCTGACAGATGTTTTGATAATCAGCTGCATGTTTGACAACATCGAAACATCCATCTGGAAAACAGATAAAAATAAACCAAGGCAACATTTGCACTCCCCAGGTGAAATTAGCTTCATAAATCTTAATGTTGCACAAATATGCAAATGTCAGATGGAGATACGACACTGTTGATGACTCATCTGTTCATCCTTCTGAGTCCTGTGAATAAACAAACATCTTTAAACTTCATTTGGATTCAGCAGATTTTCTAATCATGCCGGTAACGCAGCTGATCAGTATTCCAACACTTTCCACGTGTTTCACTGGCGTTTAGAACGCACGGTTCTCGTAGTCATTAAAACTGACCATTTTTACTCGTTGGTTGATATTCATGAGAGGCCAACTTTGCTGACAGTGATTAAGTGTTCATTTGCTGAATGCTTGTTTTGACTCTTGATAATCGGCTTGTTTGTATTAATACAGATACTCTGCATCTCATAGAAACATTACTGTGTTTTGACAAGAGAAAGTGCTGCTTCAGATTTTCCACATACTGGTTCAGGCTTTTAAACGTACAACACCCAAAAGGAAGCGAGTGAGTACAGAACCAGTTAGAGGAGTTGGGAGGTTTAGTACACTTCCCAGAAGAGAAATCCGTTGGCACAACACCACTCTGGCTCCAGCTCCACTGAGCTTTGCTGCCATCTCTGGATTTTACGATATAGTTACTGGGCTCTTACCATCCAATATTTATTTTCCCCTAAAATCCACTCCTCAGCGAGTCGTCTCCTCAGAACTCGTCCGCTGAATGTTTCAGAAAGCCCTTTCAACTTGGCGTGAAATTCTGGTTCACATGAATGTATCATTACAGTAATCTGGGATAACCTTTTGGCAGCGTTTATCAAAAGATTCCCAGAGGGGTTTCCACACCTAAGCAGCACTCGCTCCTGGCAAAACAGACACACACTGACAGCCATTTAGACCGGCCTGGAAATGGTGAGCAAACGGCTCTTTTCTAAACACCGTGTTTATGTTGCTGCTACCCACAGAGCTCAGCCATAACGTGACAACATGAAAAGAGAAGCACAAGTGACAACCACAACCCCTGCCTGTCACAATTGTATCATTTTTTCCCCCTGCCTCAGCCATGGAGAAAAGGGCCCTGCTAACGGTGCGGTTTGACAAGCGGGACACTTGTGTGAGGCAGCGAGACGCTGGGTTATTATTCACTTTGCAGTTGAGGACGGGGTCGACGGGGGTTATTGAAATCCAGTAGAGGCTGTTGTGCAGAAAGGGACAAAGCTGCAGAGCATGGTTTGTGAGGAGGAGCTCTAATGGAGAGCTGTGATCGATATCAGGGATGCTGTATTGACAGAAAAAGGTTGCAGTTACGGTAGATTAGGAGGTCAGCTCTGGTCAGGGACTGCAGGGGTTTTGTTGGCAGCACAGCCATGAGCATTCATATAAAGCTGCTGAAATCCCTCCTCCAACCTCTCAGCTGTTTCACCTGTGGTAAAAGTTTGCAAACATCAACCTATATCCATAGAAACTACCACAATGTGTGTTTTATGGTTTCAAAAGAACAGTCTGCTCATCAGCAGGTCTGTTCAGATGACATTAGCTGTTTGAACTACAGGATTAAAGGATGAACTCTTCATCGATAAAGTCTTAGCAGATGTAAATATATTTCCATTGAGTACATGAGTGGACAGTGCTGATTAATGAGCATGTTGTGTAATGTTTGTTAGAAAACTGCTCACAGCACTTAAAATTTCCTGCTTTCTAACAGATTTCTACTGTTCTATGGGTGTTTCTCATTGTCAAGGAACCTTGCCTTGATGTCATGACCTCGCCCCGGTCGCCTAGAATAAAGATAAGACTGAGATCCTCATCTGTGCCCCAGACAAGCTGGTTCCCAAAGTCAGAGACTCTCTTGGTCAGATTGCTTCTCACAGCAAACCTTCTGTCAGGAATCTTGGTGTGACCTGTGACCCAGCTCTCACCCTGGATTCTCAAGTCAGTTCTCTTGTTCGCTCTTCCTTCTTCCATCTCAGGAACATTGCTAAGCTGAGTCCCATTCTGTCCCGCTCTGAACTTGAGACAGTTATCCACACCTTCATCTCCTCACGCTTAGACTACTGGCTCAGTGGACTCCTTTAAAAAGCAGCTGAAAACTCACTTGTTCAAGCTGGCTTTTGTATGATCTTCTTCACCACTCTCTTTATTCTGCTCTCCCCACCTATTCCACGATCCTCAGGATCCACAGATTTCCCTCTTATTTATTCACTCTCTCTCTCTTTCTTAACATTTTTTAATCACAATTGTCTATTTTTTGCTCATTTTAAATATATTTTAACGATTTTCTAAATTCTTTTTCAGAGACGCTATAGAAAAGATCTTCTTCTTCTTCTTCTTCTTCTTCTTCTTCTTCTTCTTCTTCTTCTTCTTCTTCTTCTTCTTCTTCTTCTTATTCATCTTCTTCTTAGGCCTAGTCCACACGTAGCCGGGTTTTTTTAAAAACGAATATCCGCCCCTCCAAAAACTTGCATCCACACCACCGCGTTTTAAAAACAAACTCTGTCCACACGTACCCAGATAAATACGTTGTTAAGGACATGCCAGACCTGTAGGCGGCAGCACTTCCCCCATTCTTAACCTCGTCCTTCGTCTGTGGTCTTCCGCAAGGAGCAGTAATTCCGCTTGCAAAAACAAACAAGCAAAAAGCGCTTGGACAATTGATAAAGCGAGCGCAGCTCTGAGGGCATCCATGCTGTCGGCTAGTGTAAACACAGGTCGCACACGTGATGTCAGCATTTTTTTGTCGCGGAAAGTGACGTTGCGGACCTTAAAACTCTGGTTTTGTCTGTCCACACGCAGACACCCAAAACGGAGAAAACGCAGATCTTCACTTTGGTCGGAGTTTTTTAAAAGATCCGTTCTTCTTCTTCTTCTTCTTCTTCTTCTTCTTCTTCTTCTTCTTCTTCTTCTTCTTCTTCTTCTTCTTCTTCTTCTTCTTCTTTTTCTTTTTCTTTTTCTTTTTCTTCTTCTTTTTCTTCTTCTTCTTCTTCTTCTTCTTCTTCTTCTTCTTCTTCTTCTTCTTCTTCTTCTTCTTCTGTCGCCTAAGCCACGTATCTTGTGCTGGCAAGGGGGCACAGGTTTCAGACTAGAGATTAGCTTCCAGGAGATGACGCAATTAGTTTTCATTAAGACTTTACAGGATTTTCAATGTAAAACTCAAAATTTGCAGCTGAGACAGGACAATTCACGAATGCAACCGAAAGCGGGTTTGTTTTGTTTATTTATTTATTTTATTTTTTTCATGATGAAATAACATCACAAGGTAAAAAGCAAAAAGTGTATTTTCCATAATAAGGCCCCTTTTAAAACTCAGATTTTTGTTTCATCATACAAATATTCAAATGCCTTTTATAAAAATGTGCATCTTAAAATACTAATATATAAACATTTAAACATTTGGTTCAGTTTAGATTAATATAAAATAAATATAATGTTGATTGTAGTTTGTACAGAGTAGCGTGAGGTCAGTAGAAGCTGATACTCGATAAGAAGAAAGCTTTGAACTCTTCAGCTTCATATCAGTTTTACTTAAATTCAATTAGACCAACGTTTGAGCCTTCAGACCAACTTCAAGGTCAGTAATCATAAGGCCCTGGTGTTATTACACCTAGGGTAGCTTTACCACTGAGCTAAAGAAACTCTGATAGCTTTAGACCAATCAGAATTAAAGAGAAAGAGTGAGGAAAGACCAGCTTTTATTTGATATGGTTTTACATCACATACAAAAATATAATATAATACTCATCATCATAATCATAATCAATCAAGCCACCAAACCGCATTAGGTGACGTTTGGTGATAAAACTGCTTCTGGAAACTAAAATATTGATGAACTAATGAATGACTTTGGATGATTGTGTGTCAGTTTTAATTATTCCTTTGTTGGAGTATTTGCTTAATTGAATAAAATTTTGAAATTACTTGTTTGTTTTTGTAGGCCATTTCAAAGTGGCATTGCAAAGGGATTATTATTTGTCACAACTTTTTTCTGTCCACCTTAAAAGAACACAGCAGAGAACGTCTAACTAAATAGTTGTTTAGTTAAAGTTTGCAGTGTGCTCATTTATGCTGATGACACCACCTATTTACACACTGGCTTCTTTCTTTATTCCTCTTATGTAACTGGAAAGTTTTACACAAATGGAGTCAGACTGAAATAACCACTTTCAGGCTGCATCTATGTAAGTCTGTGTTTACCAACATTAGTTTTTCGGTTTCTAGTTGACATAGAATTTTACTGAATGCAGGTCTATAGTGAATAACAGTTTTTATACATGTTTTGTTGCTAATAAAAGTCGTCTCCTAATCGCACTTTGCTGTAGAACAAAAGGTCTCATTGGTCTTTTCCTTCATCATCTCGCTGTCTCTGTTCATCAACCCGAGGCCGCCTGTAATCAGCAGGCCTTGAGCTCGCAGAAAGGTCACTCTGTCCCTTTGATGGTGTTTTGATTCATCCCTTCCTCTTCTCTTTCCTCCCACCCCTCCCTTTTCTCCCCTCCTCCCCACACAGGGAAGCTTGAGAGTCACCATCACCAGGGTGCCAAGAAGGGGCTGGTCCCGTCAGCTGCAGACTGACACCGGAGGAAAAAGCTCTGAAGAATCTGTCTCAATCTGGATGGACGTACATTACCAATCTTTGGTTTTATTCTCTAACTTTTGTTTCCAAAATTAAAATTGATTAAATCTGATCTGATGCAGACATTCACATTATAATTTTAAAATATTTCTGCTCTATTTTTTGATTCCGTCAACAAATATGTCATAAATAAAGAAGACATTAAGCTGCTTTGCATGATGTGCTTGGTTAGAATAAAAAACAACTTGAATGGATGATGACTGTTTTCTTTTTTTTAAATATCTCATTAGTTATAGTAACACATTGAAAGTGAATTCATTTTCTGTATTTTCGATTTGGAGCTCAACATCTAGGAGAGAACAGCTTTTCAACTCTCTTCTCCAGCAGCAGGCCTGTCATTATCCTGCTCACGCTTAAAGCTACAGTTACGCAAACAATGGCACTTTGTTTTTAAAAATCACAGCCTTGTCATTAGTTACTATGAGACCATTTTATTACAGCAGCAGGGGGAAATGATACTGAGGGCGACGACCAACAACAACAAAAAGACTAGGAACAGTTGACCCTAATTCAATGCTGCGATCCAACAGCACCAAGCAACACACTCCTCACTCTTATCTGTGTATTGAGTCATGTTGATTTTATTTGCACTGTGTTATTTCTTAACAGTCTGAGAAATAATATTGCTGCTGTAATCTTCCTTTAAATCTGAACCGTTGTGTGTTCAGGCTTACAAATGGAATTTCATCTTCTCACTCAGTACGTGTAGCAGCAAGCCAACATGGAGGATAAGGCTTGGACACGGGGATGTTTTCAGTCTAAACAGCATGCGTTATCTGTCCTGGGTGTGTCCTTCCTGCTCAAAACCACAACACTTCAAACCTGTTACCAACACTGAGCCGATTTCAAGTGCATGTTGGTTTCATTCACTGCTGATGATTCACTTAATATTTTTATCAAACCAATGTCCAGCAGTCTCCTGTGTAGCTCTGGTGGCTCATATATCAAAGTTAAGTTGACTCGTCTGGAGAACAACTGTGGGTTTAGTCGAAAATAGGCAGGGAGGAAGAGATAAGATCGCAGTTGTGATACAGGAGGCTGAACTATGTAGCAGTGTTTTTCTGTAAAGCTAATAGTTTGGCAAACACTCCTAAAAGCTTCACTTTAGCACAAAGGGAGGCAGCTGATAATCAAGAATGCAATACCTACCTAGGGGAAAGGTGATTTTGTGTTGAGCTGTCTTCAAGGGAATCTTAAATGGGGAGTCCCACAGGGGTCGATTAAAGGACCTCCCTTTTTCCCATTTATTTCCTCATGGACAGATCGTTCAGAAGCATGTGATTAATTTTCACCTCTATGCAGATGATTGCCAGGTGTATGTTCCTTTACATAGAGGCTGATTCTGCTGCTGAAGGAGTGCCTGATGGAATTTACTCCACCTTAACGATTAAAAGAACAGATTGTTATTGGTATGACAGGACATGGTGTTGATCTTGGTTCCTTGTGAGAGGTTTTTTTTTACTAACTTATCATGGTTTATCTTGATACTGTTTTTATCTATGATAGTACTGTGCCTATGTTTTTATTTCTGTGGTTGTACCATACTGCTGTACATACAAACAGCTCTTTGAGGAAAAAAATGCTATATAAATAAAATTAATGACATAGATTAAATTAACCTTGAACTTGATAATTAAATTAAAAAGCTAATAGCTGTAAACCCTTATGTTTTACAATAATTCTTAGCATTTATTTAGTCATTTCTGTCATTTTTACCTGTGAACCAAAGGTCAACACATCTTTGAATGCATATACATTCCAAACAAGCTGACAGATGACTTTTATCAGGTTTAGACATTTCATTTAGATAAGATCATGTTCACATAAAAAAACGTTTGTATTAACACCAGCTCTGAATTCTGTTTCCCTGTTGTAGTCAAAGGAAAATAACAAAGTCAGTTTGTGTTACCTGGGTACTTGGGTTTCAGAAACCTGGATCTTGTTCAACCCTCCCGCATTGTTAATGGGGTCAGATGGGCCCCAGGTGCCTTTTTATTTATTATATTCTTATTTTCTTTTAGGAGTGCACCCCTTTACGCTTGCCAAGGGAGAAACTATCAACCATGTTTAACCTCCCCCTGTCCTGGAGGAGTCTCCTGATAGGACAATGGAAGGGTTAAATAGTGCAGAAATTGTCCAATAGATGCACATTTAATGGAAACTGAGGAGAAAATAATGCTAGCTGTAAGCAAATATGTCAGTAGCAATGCTAATCTAAAAATTTATAATGTTTCATTTTTCAAAGATTTTAGTCACTTTTTAAAAGGGGCATATACAAAACTCCCTTTTTGCATCTTTTTGTGCTGCCTTTTGGGTTTTCTACTGCCTCTGTAAACACTCCTAATATGAATAAAAATGTATGTTCAGTCGTTGTTTGGTTAAAGGGAATCATATTTAATATATTGTATAGACCATGGACCTGTTATAATTTCTAAAAATATTAAAATATGTCCGCAAAGTACTCTAAATTTTACTTTTTAAAATAACCGTGGTAGTAAATGGGGACTAGAAATTTTCTCTTCACGCTAAAGTGGTACTTCACTGAGAAACCATTATTTACTTATTTCCTGGTTATAATCAGTCTGCATTTTTTATGCCGGCCGAACCTGAAAATAGTCTCCTACACCTATCTCCTGCATTAGCTTCTGATAGAAAATAGACGATAAAAATCTAGGATTAGAAAAACCTGACAGATCTACGCAGGGGTGGACTGACTCTCTAGAGCAGCGGGAGCCGTCCCGGTGGGCCGACAATGTCAATAGTCATCTCCTTCATTCTGGTTCTAAATTTGGTTTTTTTAAATACTTCAATTCCTTTTAAGAAATAATTACTGACTCTTTTTTCAAACATTTTCTGAATGTTGGTGGGCAACGTATTGGTTTTAGCTTCATACATTGTTGAAATTGAAATTGTTTCCAATATTTTCATATTCACTAGATCATAAAATTTCAGTAGTTTATATTTGATGAATAACTGATTGGATGGATCTCTATAGTGATTGTTATTAATGATTCTCAATGCTCTTTTCTGTAGAATAAACAGTGGTTGTGTATGAGTTTTACATGTGAATCCCCATATTTCTACACAGTAAGTCAAGTATGGAACAATTAGTGAGTTATACAATGTCAGCAACCCAGAACTATTCAGTAAAAACCTAACTTTATGAAGTACTGCAATGGCTTTGGCAATTTTACCTCAGATATAACCTATGTGAGATTTCCAGGTGATGGCTTCATCAAACATGACTCCTAAAAATTCTGTTTCTTTCACCCTTCGAATGTCCATTCCATTTATTTTTATTGTTACATCTTTGTTGTCTCTGTCATTAAACAACATAAAATTTGTTTTATTAAGATTCAGTGAAAGTCTGTTTATGTCAAACCAGTTGTTAACTTTTATCAGTTCATCATTTATCACTCTAGTTACTTCATTAATATCTGACCCTGAATAGAGCAATGTTGTGTCATCAGCAAATAAAACAGTACAGAGTAGCTTAGTTACACTTACAAGATCATTAATAAATAGTATGAACAGTTTAGGTCCAAAAACCGACCCTTGTGGCACACCGTAATTAATCTCCAGCAGTTCTGATATAGTATTGTTTAGTTGGACGAATTGTTTTCTATTCTTTATATAACTTCTAACCCATCGGTGTGCTCTTATGCCATACTGATGTAATTTCTGAAGTAACCTCAAGTGATCGATAACATTAAAAGCTTTCTTCAAGTCAACAGTTTTTATTGTCCGGGTCTGTTTTTAACAATCACTGGGTGTACACTACAAGATTTTTACAATCACAGACTAAAAACTTGAAAGGTAGCACCAGGGCTCTTCCCATTAGTCTTGCTGCCCCACCCTTAGTCATCACACAGCCTCTGTTGTTATTTGACAATATAATGAATACAAACTGATTGCTTGATTGATTGATATAGCTGTCAGTTTTAGTCCTTGAGTTAATTTACATTCTTTATTTGTTAACTATCGCACAATATGACTATCCTTTGTAGTATACAGAGAGGAGGCGCTGGAAATTTTGCCGACTTCTACGAAGTGTCCGTGGCTAATGTAGTGGGCTGGTCTGAAGGGAGTCACTGGAGGGGGCATTCTCCAGCACCCCATCCAAGGTCTCCAAAAAGGGTGGGTAGTCTGAACTGTAATTTGGTGCATAAGCACAGACCACAGTCAGACCCCCCCCCCCCCCCCCGGTAAACCCCAACATACAGGCACCAAGATGGGGGGCAACTAGTATGCCCACCCCTGCTCTGCACCTCTCAGTGGGAGCAACTCCAGAGTGGTAGAAAGTCCAACCCCTCTCAAGGAAACTGGTTCCAGAGCCAGAGCCATGTGTTGAGGTGAGTCCAACTATATCTAGTCAGAACCTTTCAACCTCACACACCAACTCAGGCTCCTTCCCCACCAGAGAGGTGACATTCCATGTGCCAAGAACCAGCTTCTGTAACCAAGGATCAGACCGCCAAGGTCCCCTCCCTCAACTACCACCTGTCACACACTGCACCTGACCCCTTTGGCCCCTCCCACAAGTGGAGAGCCCATGAGAAGGCATGTGAAATTAACCCATGAAACCAGGGAATGAGTTTGAATAATGTGTGAATTGTTTTAGGCAGCAGTTATAATGTTATTTTTATTATTAGTTACTAAACTCAGCACAGCACAGGAGCTTATTTAAAAAAAGGCCATTTTGAACTAAACAAAATAACACTCATTATTTATTTTTTACGGTTTGTTAAAACTTAGAGCTTGTAGCCAAAACTTCAGCTTCTCTGTGTTAGCTGAAGGATTTCCAGAACTAAGTTCAAAGAAGTGGCACAAAACTTTCACAGGGTCAGATCACAATGTTCAAAACACTTAAAATGTATTCTTCTCTCCTTTCCCTTCCTGCATTTTTAACAGAACACATTGTGCTGCTCATGGCTAGCATTTAAAAAACCACATTTGAACTATTTCTTAGGAGATTCTGACTGACAACAGCTTCACACAATAAAGGACACTTCCATGAAGCACAGAAACAGTTTGAAACTTTAGCCGAGTGGAAGGAACCTTTACTTAAACAGTATGCTGTTGCAGTTTCCATGCGTGATGTTTATTTATTTATTTGTTTTTATGATTGGATGCTCCAGTATTGGGACAGATTATGCAAGCAGCTGAGCACTTGGATCATTTTCACTATAGGCTC